GATGAATTACTATGGGGGATGAATTACTATATGGGGGATGAATTACTATGGGGGATGAATTACTATGGGGGATGAATTACTATATGGGGGATGAATTACTATATGGGGGATGAATTACTATAGGGGGGATGAATTACTATAGGGGGGATGAATTACTATATGGGGGATGTATTACTATATGGGGGATGAATTACTATATGGGGGATGAATTACTATGGGGGATGAATTACTATATGGGGGATGAATTACTATGGGGGGATGAATTACTATATGGGGGATGAATTACTATGGGGGATGAATTACTATGGGGGATGAATTACTATATGGGGGATGAATTACTATATGGGGGATGAATTACTATAGGGGGGATGAATTACTATAGGGGGGATGAATTACTATATGGGGGATGAATTACTATATGGGGGATGAATTACTATGGGGGGATGAATTACTATATGGGGGATGAATTACTATGGGGGATGAATTACTATATGGGGGATGAATTACTATATGGGGGATGAATTACTATATGGGGGATGAATTACTATATGGGGGATGAATTACTATGGGGGATGAATTACTATATGGGGGATGAATTAACTATGGGGGATGAATTACTATATGGGGGATGAATTACTATGGGGGATGAATTACTATATGGGGGATGAATTACTATGGGGGATGAATTACTATATGGGGGATGAATTACTATGGGGGATGAATTACTATATGGGGGATGAATTACTATGGGGGATGAATTACTATATGGGGGATGAATTACTATGGGGGATGAATTACTATGGGGGATGAATTACTATATGGGGGATGAATTACTATATGGGGGATGAATTACTATAGGGGGGATGAATTACTATAGGGGGGGATGAATTACTATATGGGGGATGTATTACTATATGGGGGATGAATTACTATATGGGGGATGAATTACTATGGGGGATGAATTACTATATGGGGGATGAAATTACTATGGGGGATGAATTACTATATGGGGGATGAATTACTATGGGGGATGAATTACTATGGGGATGAATTACTATATGGGGGATGAATTACTATATGGGGGATGAATTACTATAGGGGGGAATGAATTACTATAGGGGGGATGAATTACTATATGGGGGATGAATTACTATATGGGGGATGAATTACTATGGGGGATGAAATACTATATGGGGGATGAATTACTATGGGGGATGAATTACTATATGGGGGATGAATTACTATATGGGGGATGAAATTACTATATGGGGGATGAATTACTATATGGGGGATGAATTACTATGGGGGATGAATTACTATATGGGGGTATGAATTACTATGGGGGATGAATTACTATATGGGGGATGAATTACTATGGGGGATGAATTACTATATGGGGGATGAATTACTATGGGGGATGAATTACTATATGGGGGGATGAATTACTATGGGGGATGAATTACTATATGGGGGATGAATTACTATGGGGGATGAATTACTATATGGGGGATGAATTACTATGGGGGATGAATTACTATGGGGGATGAATTACTATATGGGGGATGAATTACTATATGGGGGATGAATTACTATAGGGGGGATGAATTACTATAGGGGGGATGAATTACTATATGGGGGATGTATTACTATATGGGGGATGAATTACTATATGGGGGATGAATTACTATGGGGGATGAATTACTATATGGGGGATGAATTACTATGGGGGATGAATTACTATATGGGGGATGAATTACTATGGGGGATGAATTACTATGGGGGATGAATTACTATATGGGGGATGAATTACTATATGGGGGATGAATTACTATAGGGGGGATGAATTACTATAGGGGGGATGAATTACTATATGGGGGATGAATTACTATATGGGGGATGAATTACTATGGGGGATGAATTACTATATGGGGGATGAATTACTATGGGGGATGAATTACTATATGGGGGATGAATTACTATATGGGGGATGAATTACTATATGGGGGATGAATTACTATGGGGGATGAATTACTATATGGGGGATGAATTACTATGGGGGATGAATTACTATATGGGGGATTAATTACTATGGGGGATGAATTACTATATGGGGGATGAATTACTATATGGGGGATGAATTACTATATGGGGGATGAATTACTATGGGGGATGAATTACTATGGGGGATGAATTACATTAAAAACTTATTGAAACTAAAAACAGTGTACCATCCTATGTATTTTCAGTTTTAAAAATGTGGCTCTCAAAATAAATTTCAATCGTGGTTTTGGCGAGATTTGGCTCAGTTGAAAAAAAAGGTTGCCCACCACTGCTCTAGACTAAATGAGCAATTGACCCTTGCAGTGAGGATGTCGCTATTCATTCATTTGTTCCTTCTTCCTCCATTGTAAGAGGAAAGGGGAATACTCTCCAATGTAGACACTACAATGGAGTGCCGCTCCAAGCTATGGATTGAAGGAAAAGGATCAACCCTACCGGCAAGCGAGAAGAGGGGAGCATAAGTCCAAGCATCCAGTGTCAGCCAATACAAGTGAAGGGATGGATGCTGCTCAACCAACACCAGGAGTCCAATGTTGAGGAATGGCTTTATTCGACATGCTGGCCATGCCCTCTAACACATTTCACCCCGCCCACCTCAACATTGGAATCCTGGGGTCATTTGAGCAGGGTTCACCCCTTCACTACAATGTTTACATTTGTGATGGCTGTGATTGGCCATCACAGTGATCACATGGCACAGAGCTGCTCAGATCACCTCTGTACACTGTGTCCAGGGGCGGACTGACCATTTGGAAACTCGGGCACTGCCCGAGGGCCCGGGGTCAGTAGGGGGCCCCTTGAGATGCTCCTGGTACCTTTTTCATAGGCTTTTTTGAGTTTGGGCAAGGACACAGGGGCCCCATGATCCCCTATTGCCCAGGGGCCCCATGAGTTGTCAGTCCGCCCCTGACTGCGTCTGTGAACTGAGCCACGCGGTGATAACTCCGTTCACAGCCATTGGGCAACACACTGGCTGCCAACCAAGGGTGATTTATACACATCACTGCAGGAATAAGCGTCCTCCACATAAATGAATGGCGGTAGATAAGAGGTTATCCTTCAGGATAATGCTTGTTGGCCAATCAATAGTTTGAATGCCCCCCCCCCCCCATTCTGCAAGATCATCTACACACACCCTAAATAATTGATACTTTTTTTAACCTCTTGCCACCTATGTAACTCTTTATTGCCCACACATTGCACATATGCATCCATGGATGGCCATGGGTTTTGGGCTGAGAGCACACTCACTGAGCGCTCCCAGCACATTGATCAAGCTGTCATTGACCACTTTAGATCTCTAGTAATGACGGGACCAGCTCCTAATCATGTGACTACAGTGTCAGGAAAGGCAAAATGTTCCTAGATGCATAATTAAACGTTGATGAAGAATTCCTGTTAGCCAAACCTGTGCTCATGATCATGCTTATGCGCATGCACACACACACACGTGCGCTTCGGCACGCATGGTGGTGCGCACGCCCACCACTAAATTGGCACCTTGTGGGCTATTTAAACATCTCTGCTGCCTTAGGACTTTGCCTTATGGTCTACAGCTTTCTGCAGCTTGCTACCTGTTCCTATGCCTGATCTCCTGTTGCCGTCCTTATTCATCTGACCACACTTGAACTCTGCCTGAACCAACACCTGGTTTGCTGTTTGACCACATCTCTGCCTGATCTTTGTGTCTGTTTGCTTACTTTGGTCAACTCCAGCCTGAACCTAACTACTCTTCTGCTGGCTTCTCTGTTCCTGATGTGCATGCTAATATCTGACCTGGCTTGCCTGACCCTGCCTGTGGTGGCCATCCTTACTTCTATATATTAATTAAACAGCACCACTCCAATTATTTAGAAAAGTAAATTACTTCCACCCTTGAAAGTTAATCAAAATATATCAAAGAAAACTTTTCTTTTTACAAAAATCCAATCTACATACTAAGTGTCCAATATAAAAATTAAAATGTCCCCAATGTTCTAAACAATCTCCGTGAAACACTCTTTTTCTTCTTTCAAAAATTATTCTCAATTCCGGAAGTCTGCAGTGATCATATACCTAAAAAAAAACACCCTTCAGAAAAAGTCAAAGGAAGTGACGAAACGCGTCAGAGACACATGACGTCAGGCGCATTGACGTCAAACCGGAAGTGCGATCGCGGCCATTTTGGAAGAGGGAACATGCGGATACTGTTCCCTAGCTTTGTCCATATATCCTGTCTCTGATTTGAGGAGCTGCTTTTTTCAATCCTTGATGTTAGTTGCTGAATACATTTTTTTTGTATTGAATCTACTCTACCTAACTACTGATTTGTCTATGAGGAAATTGGAGGAAAAGATGGGCAGAATCTGAAGAGAGAGATTATCCCAGTCTTGTGATATGCCTTTTTGATATACCCAGAGGGTAATTATTCATTGCAACATGAGTTGGAGTGGCTTTTTGAGCACGGCTGAATTTAATGTGGTGATATACACAGGAATGTTTCACTGATTTGTTGGAGGGCACACGTTTTGGAGTGTTTCACATTAAAAAGTTGGTTTATATTCTGAAGAGTATGGAATATATGTGCATGTATAGTTGAATGCATCTATATCCATACTCTTGACAATTATTATTGTATAAAGGATATAACACTATTTTGAGTTTTTGTTTTTTTTGAGGTATATGATCACTGCAGACTTCCGGAATTGAGAATAATTTTTGAAAGAAGAAAAAGAGTGTTTCACGGAGATTGTTTAGAACATTGGGGACATCCTTACTTCTGCAACCTGCCAAGCACCTGCTGTCTGTAACCTGCCAAATGCCTCCAATCTGTGACCTGCCAGCCAGCCAAATGCCTCCTATCTGTGACCTGCCAGCCAGCCAAGTGCCTGCTGACTGTCTACCAGCCCGCTGTGCCTGCTGCATGCATCCCGATTCAGCCTGCATCCAAGTGCACATAGAATGCACATCTTCAGCCGTCATCACCAGAACTGCCCAGCACTTGTGCCTCCATTCACTTTACCAGGGGTACTGAGCTGGAGGTATAAGAGACAGGGGCGAACTGACAACTCATGGGGCCCCCGGGCAGTAAGAGATAATGGGGCCCCCTGTTCCCCCGCCTATATTCAAGCCACAGTGAGATCACCTTCCCATCCAAGTCAGGCAACATCACCAGGTACGTGACACACTGTGCCAGACAATCACAATGGTCAGATGGTCATGCTGTCACTTGCCCCATGGGGCGTGAAGACCCAGCTAAAGGGATTCCGGGGCTCTGTAGGAAAGAATGTAATGAAGTCGACATGCAGAGTTATTGACAGGTCCACTTTAATTACAATGTGAATTGATAAGATAAAAGGTCCAGTAGTCCATAGCAGCTTTTCGGATTGCAGTTTCCTGGAGTCAGACCAGTGCTCGGCGTTATCACTCTGTCGATGGTATCAGGCAGTACAGATCCATAGGTGTTGCCCAAATGTGGCCAATACATGACCAACACATACTAATCATTCATTACCTTCTCAGTATCATGTAAAGGGTTACCTGCAGAAAATCTGAATACAGAATGAGCCTGCTGAGCACCGACTAAAATAGAATCAGCAATCATAGGAATCCTTGAAAAGCAGAGCTACTCAGAACTGCAATTGTCTCATGAGTTCTGCAATTAAAATAAAAAATAAATTCAAAGATCATTTATATTCATATTTATCAAAGATATTCCATGAAGAACCTAATAAACAGCGACACCTTAAAGTAGACTTTCTCAGCCAGGGTGCCTTCTGGTTTCCTCTGGGGGGCTGAGAACACGAGACCTAGTTTGCCCCCGACCAGCGACATGAAATGTCTCTAGGATGTGTTGGATGAATGTGAGAGTATGAGAAGCCAAAGACTGATGACAGTCTACAGGAAGTCCAAGCAAACGTGGTGGCACTGCTGAATATACTATACTGATCGAGTCATTCTGGGAAGACAGCTGTGCAACCGATACATGGGTAGTGAAGTGGACTGAGATGTGTCCGGTTCTGGTTGGGAATGACTGGTGGGCTAAAGCAGGGGTCTCCTGGCTTACTAAACAAAGGGCCAGATTACTGTCCTTCAGACATTAGGAGGGCCAGACTGTGGGAGTAGAAAATGCCTTGTCTTTGGTATTATGGAAGTCATAGTGTCAGGATTGGACTTGCCAATAGTGGCGGGACTCACCTGCCTTGTGGGCTGCAGTACCAGGGCTGGCCAGCGGGTGCTCTCAACAACCAGAGGTTCACTTCGGCAATTAGCCATCACCTGGGGCTGATGATTGCAGGTGGTGTATTTAAGGGATGGCCAGACCTGCAGTCTGTGCCTTGGTGTGTGTTTTTCCATGGGCCCCTGTATCTTGTAACCTGCATTCCTGTTCCTGTTTCTGCCTGACTTGTTGCCGACCCTGCCTGATCCTAACCTCTGCTGACTTCTCCTGTTTGATCCCTGGCTTGTGACCCTGACCATTCTCTGCCTGACCCCCTGTACCTACCTGTCCATTAGTTGCTGTACCCGGCTTGTGACCTGACTACTCTCCGCCTGCTCCTCCTGTACCTACCTGCCCGATAGTTATCGATTTGTGTTAGCTTGGGGTTTGGTGCACTGTGTTTATATTTGTATTGTTAGTCTTAATAAATTGTCTTATTTATACCATATCTGAAGCCTGCGTTTCCCTGTCAGTCCACACACTTCCGGTCACACCCGCATCCCTCACACATAGTGCCCCAATGTTGGTTTCAGTGGGAGGAATAGTGCCCCATCATTAGTATCAATGAGAGGAATAGGGCTCCATCATTGGTATTAGTGGGAGGAAGATTGCCCCATTGTTCGTGTGAGTGGGAGGAATAGTGCCCAGTCACTAGTGTCAGTAGGAGGAATACTGCCCTGTTGTTGGTGTCAGTAAGAAGAATATTGCCCTGTTGTTGGAGCCAGTGGATGGAATGGTGCTCCAAGGGCCAGATATAGGCAAGCAAAGGGCCTCATCTGGCTCCCAGCCACAGTTTGGAGACCACTGGTCTAGAGGACTGAGATGTGTCTGGCTCTGGTCTGGAATGACTAGTGTTCTACATGACCTCAGAGTACCTCAGAGTACAGTCATTTTCAGGAGAAGGTTGGGGAAGGCTGTGTTTTTTAATTTCAACTGTGGCAATTTTACTTTGTGATGCAGGATTGATTTTTTTTTCTCATTATTTCAGGAAGATCAAAATGGTCATACCACCGCACGCAATTTCAAGTTTATGAAAGATTAATACACCACTTTATATAAATCATAAAGAACTGTGAACACACTTAGTGCTATTGAACACAGGCAAAGTCAGAATACACTGTGGTTTCATACAGAGTGAAGGTAGACAATGGGGGATGTCTGGCTATGGTGGAAGTAGATGTCCCAACATCTGCTTAGGGCAACATATTTTGAAAATCTACCAGCATATTAGCTGTAAACCCAATAACTAATATCTCCTATAAACTGTAACATGTACATTTCATCTCAAAAAGTGATTTTTAATGTTCTTAAAGGTGCATTTTTGATTCAAATAATACCCAGTAATCCCATCATGAAGGCGGGCAATTTCTGTTGTGCCGTGACAATGCTCTCTTCCTGTCCCTCTCTTTTGTTCTTACATTGTTGCCCTGCCACATGGGCTTCTTATATAGACTAGGGATGAACTCAGGCATGTTCAGATCCTAGTCCAAACCCACCTGAGCTAGCCTGCCAGGAAGCTGCCACTGTACTGGGCCAACCATAAATGACCGAGGAATGCTGCAGATATAGATATATATATACAGTGTATATACACCGCGTTCCAAATTATTCTGCAAATTCTATTTAAGTGTCACAAAGATTAAATATTTTGTTTTTCAGTTTAACTCATGGATGGCATTGTGTGTCACGGCTCTTTTGATCACTGAAAACAATCTCGGACACCTGTGATAATTAGATTGGCCGGTGAGCCCAATTTAAGGAAAAACTACTAAAGGAGGGTGTTCCACATTATTAAGCAGAGCACCATTTTCAAGCAATATGGGGAAGAAAAAGGATCTCTCTGCTGCCGAAAAGAGTGAAATAGTTCGATGCCTTGGACGAGGTATGAAAACATTAGATATTTCATGAAAACTTAAGCGTGATCATCGCACTATGAAGAGATTTGTGGCTGATTCAGAGCACAGACGGGTTGGTGCAGATAAAGGCACATTGAGGAAGATTTCTGCCAGATCCATGCATCGGATCAAGAGAGCAGCTGCTAAAATACTATTACATAACAGCAAACAGATATTTGAAGCTGCTGGTGCCTCTGGAGTCCCACGGACATCAAGGTGTAGAGTCCTCCAGAGACTTGCAACTGTGCATAAACCTTCTATTCGGCCACCACTAACCAATGCTCACAAGCAGAAACGGCTGCATTGGGTAGAAAAATACATGAAGACTAATTTTCAAACAGTCCTGTTCACTGATGAGTGCCGTGCAACCCTGGATGGTCCAGATGGATGGAATAGTGGATGGTTGGTGGACGGCCACCCTGTTCCAACAAGGCTGCCCCGTCAGCAAGGCGGTGGTGGAGTCAGGTTTTAGGTTGGAATCATGGGAACAGAGCTGCTAGGCCCCTTTAGGGTCCCCGAAGGTATGAAGATGACCTCTGCAAAGTATGTGGAGTTTATGACTGACCACTTTCTTCCCTGGTACAGAAGGAAGAACTATGCTTTCCGTAATAAAATCATCTTCATTCATGACAACGCACCATCTCATGCTGCAAAGAATACCTCTGCATCAATGGCTGCTATGGGGATAAAAGGAAAGAAAGTCATGGTGTGGCCTCCATCCTCTCCTGACCTCAATCCTATTGAGAACCTTTGGAGCATCCTCAAGCAAAAGATCTATGAGGGTGGGAGGCAGTTTACATCCAAACAGCAGCTCTGGGAGGCTATTCTGACATCTTGCAAACAAATTAAAGCAGAAACTGTCCAAAAACTCACAAGTTCAATGGATGCAAGACTTGTGAAGCTGCTATCAAATAAGGGCTCCTATGTTACAATGTAACGTGACCTGTTCAAATGTTTACAAAGTTCAAATGTTGTTAAAAGTTTGATTGAAATAGCTTTTGATTTCAGTAAATATGCTGCAAACACAACAAATGACAATTTTCAGTTCTTTACAACCTATAAAGTGTTTTGAAACTTCCTGTGCGGAATAATTTGGAACAAAAATCCTGTTATCATTAGGAGGTTTGTTCAATAAAATGTGAATTGTACACTTATAGTTTGTAACCTGAGAATTATGCCGACTGATATTTACATCAATTATTTGGGTAAATGAGAAAAAATATCATCTGCATAATAATTTGGAACAGGTGTGTATATATACAGTATATATATATATATATATATATACACATTGTATGAGCTACAGATGATTGTCTTAATATAGGTGCAAACTTCATGGGGGGGGGGGGGCTCGCTCAGGTGGGCTCAGACTAGGATCCAAACCTACTCAAACTCATCATTTAGACTACAAGTGGTCTCTCAACATAATGTAGTGCTACCCTCATGAGGGCCGCTTGTATGTTTGCCCCGGTTTCCCCTTTCTTTGCCCCGCAGCCAGACACAGTGTACTTCTTCAGCCAAATACATACACACACTTCTGCTTGTTGTCTTCAATGACCCGTCTAGGGGATGTTTGCTTTGGAGTTTTGGGATTTGGGATGGGGAATTGTAGTAGACCCACACTGACTATCATGCACTAGAGGGGTAGTAAAGCACACAGAGTCCCCAAGATCTCTCATTGTCTGTACTCACAAGTCCAAGGACAGAATGGTTGCCTCCTTCCAATCTTCCAAGTGACTTTCTCCAGTGATACCAGACCAGGGGTGGACTGACAACTCATGGGGCCCCCGGGCAATGGGGGATCATGGGGCCCCTGTGTCCTTGCCCAAACTCAAAAAAGTCTACAAAAAAGGTACCAGGGGCATCTCATGGGGCCCCCTAATGACCCCAGGCCCTCAGGTTTCCAAATGGTC